GGGAGGGGAGAAGGAGGGGTTGCATATACAGGGGAGAAAGGGTGTAAAGATGCCTAAGGGCTGGAGCCCACACAGTGGCGGAAGCGGTTATCAACATCCGGGAGGAGGGGTTGCATGTACAGAGGAGAGAGGGGGTAAAGATGCCTAAGTGGGGTAGTATGGACAGGGGAGAGGCAGGGGGAAGATGCCTTCCTGGCTGTAGCTGGAGTTTTGCGCACGTATTGGAGTTGGTTTAGTTGGAGGGAGAGTTGATATGAGACTCTGGGAGATGTATCTGGTCGCAATTGCAGTCGGACGAGGATGTATCGCAATTGCAGTCGGACGAGGCTGTATATGACCATAATTATGTCCCGGTTCATTCGAAAAAAGTCCTTGTGTGAGCTGTCAGCTGCTGCCTGGGAGAGGGTAGGAGAACTGCTCCCGAGTTTGAACCCAAGTCTTTTCCTTTCGGGACCACGGGTACCCTTGCCAGCCTTCCAGTTTGAACCCATCTTTTTTATTTTTTTGTTGGGACCATCGGTACCCTTGCCAGCCTTCCAGTTTGAACCCATCTTTTTTATTTTTTTGTTGGGACCATCGGTACCCTTGCCAGCCTTGTTTGAACCCATCTTTTTTTTTTTTGTTGGGACCGCTCGTACCCTTGCCTGCCTTTCAGTTTGAACCCATGTCTTTCCGCTTGGGACTGCTGGTACTCTTTTATCTTTGGGACCATCGGTACCCTTGCCGGCTTTTCAGTTCGAACCCAAGTCTTTTATCTTGGGACCGCCGGTACCCTTGCGCTGGCGAGCCTTTCAGTTTGAACCGGCCGGTTGACACGGTGCAGGGGATCTGGTCCCAACTTCCTCCCAAGTCTTTTCTCTTGGGACTTGGGATCGCCGCCGGAATCCTCGCCAGCCTTCCAGTTTGAACCTGCTGGTTCACATGGTGCAGGTACAGGTACAGGTGCAGGGTTCAATTCTTTGCGGGGGAAGAGGCTGACAGTGTCAGGGAAATTGCACATGGCGATGGTTTGGAATTTTCAGGGGCGGGAAAGAAAGCGGATTGGAAGACGGTGGCGTGTAGAGAAGGTACCGGCGGTTCATTTCAATTATTTGCGTGTCTGTGTTCGCCTCTGGTGTGTGTGGAGAGCATACGGATGGGTGCAGATTATAAAGTTTTTCAATGTGTTATGTGCCAGGGTTATGGCCATTGAGAGAGATCTGCCAGAGCTTATGACTACAGTGGACATGAGGAATGTTTGTTGTGTTGTTGGCGTGGAAGACCCGGGGGGGGGG